CGTTTGCTCACATGAAAAAGGGGGCACTAAGAAACCATGGTACTTCTAACTGCCTCCTACTCGTGCGGAAGCAGCTGGTGAAGCTGGAAGACCAGAGGACGATGCCCTTGAATGATGGTGTTGGCGAAGAACGTGGGCTATGCCACGGACTGCCGCAGGACAGACGTCGGCTCTAGAAGAACCATCAGAAGGCTCCTCAGAGGTGAGGACGGCAGGGTTCACCCTACAGACTCCGGACATGTTATCAGGAGGGACAAGTTCCTGGAGAAGAGTGGTGGAAAACAGGACGACTCTCAAGGAGACGGAGTGACACCGTCTGCAAGAGTGGGGAGCCCACGTCGCGAGGATGGGGAGGACAGTGGGGCAGTGCTCCGCTCTGTTGTAGGGGGGCGGGGGCTGTGAGTGACGCTCAACAAGAACCACAGCGCTGACTCGTAGGGATCTTGAGAGAGCCGCTGAGTTAAATCACAGACAACCTTTACTATCAAGCAAGGTACTTAGTGAACGCTCAGGAGACAGCAGTGGGCTTCTCATTCTTGCCCCATTCACCTCTAAAACCGATCCTTGTCTGAAGGTACGTGGAAGCAGAATTTTTCACCTTGCTCCAACTAACATTTGGGGCCAGATCATTCTGGGGCAGGGGTGGCCTGTGCATCGTGGGGTGTGAACACCAGCCCTCGCCTCCACCCCACTGGATGCCAACAGCAACCCTCTCCTAGTTAGGACACCCAAACGTCCCCAGACTTTGCCAAGCGTCTCCTGGGGGCAAGAGGCATAAAAGTCACCCTCGGTTGAGAATCCATACATTAAGGATAAATAAAATAAGCACCCACTTTAAAATATTCTCAAACTCCCCACAGCTTTGCCCGGATACACATTTAATCAGTAGTCAGTGACAGCACAGCCAGGGCCACAAGTGTAGCACCATTGACAGTTAAAGTTGTCAACGGTGGGGCCCCTGGATGGAAAATGAGCCCCGACAAAGACCGGGGGCCCAGCCTTGCAGACCTACTTTGTTCCATCTCTTGAGCAAATAGGACACTCACTTCAAACAGCATGCAGGAAAGGGGCAGTGAAGAAACTCAGAAGCTGAAATGGATGGTCCTTGGGCTGGATAGGTCACAGACACTGTTGGACAGGGTGCCAAATGTCCCATTTCTGACTTCTCTCGGGGGGGAAAAAATCCATCTAGAACGAGTGGAGCCACCTATCTGCCTGGCAATAGTGAGCACACACCAAAGAGCAGCCACTCCTGCTAAAGTAGACACGTGGTATTCACCTTACCCTAGTCTGTACCACTCCCTATTGCCCTCCACTCGCATCACCTTACCTGCTGCGATCCTCCCTGGTGTTTGCAAGTCCTGGCTCCCAGCAAAGAAAACAAGTGCTGATGGTGCACCCTCGGCAGAGGCCTGACTGTAGTAGTTTAGGCTGCTCTGGCCTCTCGATGGCTCTGCCCAAAACCCCCACCCCCCACCCCACCCGTGTCTCTTCAGCAGCTACCACTTACCTCTGCCCACAGCATAGATGTACGGGGGGTCAGCCCCTCGGACCTGGAAGCACAGTGCCTCTGGCTGGTCGGGGACTTTGATGACTCTGTACAGGCAGAAGCAGCCGGTGAAAAGCAATAAGAAAAGGCAGCATCTCTCCCAACAACCTCCGCCCCGACTAATACCAGTCCCCAAATATCTAGAGAAACCACCACTCACGGGGATATTCAAGTAAGCGGAACCACGGTCCTGCCCTTGGAGACGGCAGTCACCACAGTCTGCACTTTACCTTCCTATCCCTCTCCTCCGTCTCTTTCCTGTCCTACGGCTTCTTGGCGTTCAGACCAACAAAACCCCCATCACTAATTTACTCAAGAATCACAGGTGGAGATTCCCAGAAAACATCCCTAGGGAATTTTACTAAACATTCAGCGGAAAGCCGACACCGATTCTAATCAAACTCCTCTGAAATACAATAAAGGAAGAAATACTCACTGACCTCGTCTGTGAAGCCAACATCATTCCTCTGATACCAAAACCAATGAAAGACAGCACCGATAACGAAAATGACAGGCCAATACCACTCGTGAATCTGGGCACAAAGGCTCTCAACAAGATGCTAGCCAACAGAACTCAACAGCATGGAAAAAATTAAAACACTGTAAACAGGTGAGACTCATACTAGAAATGCAAGGCTCAACATTAGAAAATAAATTCATGTCTGTCTCCACATAAGTTTTTTTTTTTAATTAAAGAATCACATGAGCTTTTGTGATGCAGCAAAGGCATTTGATCAAATCAATACCTTTTCCAGATTAAAAGTAAGATACCTTGGACTAGGAGGGAAATTCCTCAACATAATTAAGGCCAACCAAGAAAGACCGTGATACCTTTCCCCTTGAGAATGGGAAAAAAATAATGGTACCTACTATCAATATTATACTGGGTGTCTTAGAGTAATAAGCTGGGAAAGGGAAGTGAGAATATCCAAATTAGAAAAAGCTCATTAATATGACATGAAAGTAAAATTTGGTTGAAGATAACTCAAAAATAGTTGTAGCAGTCCTTCGACAGGGAGCTGCAAGGAACTCCAGCAAGATGTGGAAGAAGACAGAATAAAGGATATCATTACTGATATCAGGTGTATCTTGCCCAGTAGCACAGAATACTGGAAAGATGCTTGCCTTTGTTTTATTGGCTGTGCAAGAGCATTCACGACAGACAAATGGGAGCTCAAAATCACTTCATTGCACTCATGAGGAATGTGCACATGGGTCAAGAGGAAGCTGCGTGCGCAGAACACAGGGTGCTTGGTTTCCCATCAGAAAAGGCGTATCAGCCTCGTGTCATTTCACTATACTCTGTGGGTTCAATCCATACATCAAGCACATAGCCTGAGAAGTTGGACGATGTGATGCGGAACATGGTGACAGGCCTAGAGGAAAACGCATGAACCATCTGTGCTGTGCAGATGACACCCCCGTGCTTTCCGACAGTGAAGAGGGCCTGAAACCCTGATGGCGATCAGAGACGGCAGCCTTCAGAATGGATTCCAAACTATCTCTGACCCCATCGCGCTAATTCCGACTCAGATCCACCCGACAAGACAAGGGAGAACAGCCCCCTGTGCATTGCTGAGACGCAGCTCTTCACGGGACCAGGGAGCTTTTTGTCTTGGAGTGGCTGGTGGTTTTGAACTGCTGACCTTGTGAGCAGCGGCCCAACACATAACCGCGATGATGTCCTTTTCCAGGGACTGGTCCCTCCTGATAACATCCAAAGGGCATGAGATGAAGCCTCACCATCCTCATTCCTAAGGAGCAGTCTCCCTGTCCTTCTCCTAAGGCAGGTACATCCATTCTTCTGGTAGTCCACGATACAGTCAATATTCTTCACCAACGCAGTGGTCCAAAGCAGCCGTTCTTCTTTGACCCTTCTTACACTTGACTAGCTTGTGCATGAGTGGGAAGCTACTGAAAATACCATGGCTTGGGCCAGGCACACCAGGAGTCTGCAGGGTAGTATGCCGAGTGAAGTAGGTCAATCACAAAAGGACAAACACCGCATGCGCTCGCTACTAGACAAAAACAACATAGGAATGCATACAGAAAGCGACAACTTTTAGCAGCAGGTACAGGGATGAGAGGGAGCGAGAGTACAAACTACCTTCTAGGGAATAAACACCTGTCCGTTTGGGCGACAGGTAAAATAATACCAAATAAGGGTGAAGTCGGCGTAACTTGGCCAAGGTGAAAGAGCACGCTAAGAAGTACACACGCATAAGGGGTCAATGTTGGTAAAAGTCACAACATACATAATTCTGCAACAACAGGAATAACCACCAAAAACATATGTGTGTGGTTACACAGACAGCTCCTACACGGATAGGAGAACACATATGAATATACAAGAGTGCCCATATAGCTGTTGCTGTGGGCAAATACATGCTTGTGTGTGTCTGCATATATAGTCATCTATAAAATAAAGCACAGGAGGACACAGTTACAGACACTTCCTAGACAAAACCAAACACCTCCCGGGATTGATTTACTAGGGTTGAGGGCTTAGGGTCAGTCTCACGGTCAAACTCGGTCAGTTGGCAAACTATAACTCATAAAGGAAATGTTCTACGTCCTCGCTTAGTGAGCAGCATCTGGGGTGTTAAATCTGTGTAAAGGTCCCCTACGATACGATTGATCTCTGGAACAAACACGAAAGAAGCAAAGCGAAGACTCCCAGAAGAAACGAATCCACAGCACACGGTCTACACACACCGCAGCCTCCCTCCTTGGAGACCGAAAGAGCTAGACGGTGCCCGGCTTCCACCAGCAATTGTTCTGTCCAGGAGGGGACCCGACAGAACAGGAGGAACATGAGAAAACAAAAACAACCTCAAATCCCTAAAACAGTCCAGACTCACTAGACCAGAAGAGACTAGCGAGAACCACCAAAAACTATCACCTGGGACAGCTTTTAAACACGGAACTCAAACCATTCCTGGGGCCACTGTGAGCCAACAGACAGACGCTCGTAAAATCGTCTAAAGCCAACACCAAATATGAGAAGAAGTGGGGGGAACAACCAGAGTGGAAATGATGAGGATGCAAAAACTGACAAGTGCAGAATGTCACTGAAGAAGATGTGTACCCATCGCTGTCCAGTCAATTCTGACTTGTAGCGACCCTTTAGAACAGCCTCATCTTTCACCCTCCGAGTGGCCAGTGGGTTCGAACCATCAACTTTTCACAGGCAAGTATTTAACCACGGTGTCACGAAAGCTCCTGAACAATGTCTAGAAATTGGGAAATGAGAATCTAATTTGCCAGGTAAAGTTTCTCCAGAATCACCACACACACACACACACACACACACACACACACACACACACACACACACACACACACACACACACACACACACTCAGTATATATAATATATATTCACTATACATCGTATACAATCACTCTATGCATCACACACGGGAGGTCAAGAGGTGACCTGGTACCCCATGGGTGCCTGGGGGAACAGGGCTTGAAAACCCAGGGCCCATCCATTCTTCAGGTAGAAGACTGGAGCAGAATTTCTGCTGCCCTGCCTCCCCATCAGGCATACCCCACACACAGGTGCTGCAGGACCACCCCTCCCAGCCCCACTTGTCAGATAAAGCCACGCCGGAAGCCTGTTCTCAACTCCAAAGTGTTTCCGGAACATTTGTAATTTCTGCCACTTTCACACATGAATCAAACAATCGATCCATCAATCGTTTCCCCTAAGTTTGCCTCTGTGCTGAAATAATCTCATCCCAAACTTCCCATCACTCCTTTCAATAGAAAGCCTATAGCATTTGCCTCACATCAAAGAGAAGTAAAGACAGACGCATAATTTTATAAAATAGAAAATGTTTCTCCTGTACCTATAATCCCTCTCTGGCTGCTTCTCCTCCCCTCCACTGCTCCCTGGCTGGGCCAGGCGGCCAGTCTGCTCCCCACCTTCCTGCAGTCCGGTCTCCACATGCAGCCACGGGGGGCCTCAGTCACAACCTCCCAGTGGCTCTCCAGGGGGTCACAGTGGATATGGGGTTGGGTCCATTTTGGTCAAAGTCACAACATACATAATTTTGCAACAACAGGAATAACCATCCCCCAAAATGTGTGTGGCTACAGACAGCTCCTACATGGACAGGTGAACACACATGCATATACAAGAGTGCCTACATAGCTGTTGCTAATACATGCTGCGGGAGCCTGCTCTGAGCCTGGTCAACCCCATCACCCTTCCCTCCTCCTCCCTCTCTCTGTTCCCGTCACCTTAGTTTCCTCCATGGCCCTCGAACAAGCTAGCGTTTGGTTCTAGATTCGACCTGTAGAATTCTACCTCGGGGCCTCTGCACTTGCTGTCTCCCGTTGGCCTGAAACAGTCTTCCTCTGGTTGTCACCTGGACTCCCTTCCTCACCTCCTCAGATCTTCACCTCCACTCTCAGTGCAGGGGCCACCAGCCCTTCACTTGTTCCACCCTTCCAGGTGTGACATGTTTGCATCAAGCTCACCAGCGCCTAGTTCAGTGTCTCGCTCCCTTCTCTATCTGTTTGCTGTCTGTCCCTGCCTCTGTCCCTAGTTAGAACCTGAGATCCAGAAAGGTAGGCACCGCGTCCATCTCGATACAGCTGTGCTCAGCCTGAAACACCATCTGGCACCCAGAGTACTCAGAAAATATCGGTGGAGGGACGGAAGGCACCCAGCATCTTGTCACGTGCTGCCTGCCTGCAGTAGCTCCCCCCCACGGGAAAGCAGGGCAGTTTGTGTCCCCACTCCCGCCATCTCCCAGCCCCCAGCATCTCCTCAATGAGAGAGGAGGGCCCGCCAGCCGCCTGCCCGAGGACACTCACTCTTTGGCCTTGGTGGCCACCAGGAGGCGCAGAGGGCGGCGGGCGCAGAAGGACTGGTTGAGGATGGTCTCCACCTCGGAGAAGGGCCGCAGGAACACCAGGTCCTCATTGATGCAGTAGATCTTCCTGCCCACGTGCAGACCCGCCATCTTGGGGGGGAGGGGGAGAGGCAGAGACATGCACATTGGTCACGAAGCCCCTCCCTTTTCCACCCAGGAACCTCAAACGCTTGCAGGTGGCACGGCGCCCGGCCCAGGGGATCCCACGACAACCCTGTTCCCCTGTGGAAGTGGTTGAGGGGTGCATGTGAAGCCCGGTTCTGGCCTGTGTGCTGCTGGGGGGGTGGGGGTAGGGAGCGGACAACAGGAAAGAGGAACTCTCGGGCGTGGCATGAAACCTCCGCTGGGGCAGCCATCTGGTGATCAAGAGGGGTCGACCGAGGAAACTGAGAGGCCACCCTGAACCAAGACTTGGAATCTCCTCCTTCCCACCACTTTTGTCACCAGAAAGAGAAACTCTGGAACTTCAGTCACTACGAGGTCTCACTGCCATCGAGTCAATGCCAACTTAGAACGACCCTAGAGGACAGGGGAGACTGCCCCCTGTGGACTTCTGAGACTGTAGGTCTTTACAAGAGTAGAAAGCCTTGTCTTTCTCACAGCGGCTGCTGGTTTCAAACTGCTGTCCTTGAAGGTATCCCAATCTTAACCACTGAGCCACCGGGGCAGTGGAACCTAGAGCCTCACTGCCCAACTGAACCTAGATGGAGACTACTGCTCTATCTTTCATCAATTCCCACCGGGTCCAGCAGAGGGAGCGGATGGGACGTGCTAGAAGTGGGACAAGCCTGGAACCCTGCCCGCTCTTCCCACACTGAGGCAAGTCCATCCTAGACCCAGTGTCCCCACCTGGCCATGGAGAAAGGAGTCAGCTGGCATCCCAGGATTTGCTGAGTTAGCCTGCTTGCCTGCCTCGGATCCCTGAGAAGACCCTTCGTTCTGCTGCCAGCTCGCAGGCCTCATCAGACCTGTCCGGTGCCACCCCAACCCCCCGGCTCACCTCTGCCAGGGACCCCCTCTGGACCGACTTCACCACCACCGCCTTGTTCTTCTCCTCAATCTCGAAGCCGTAATCCTCCTCCTGAGGCATGATCTGCAGGGCCAAGGCAGAAGGGGTCAGTCCCACGCTGCTCACCTCAGGGCCTGGCCCTGGCAGCCCGGTATGCCCAGACCACAGGAGGGGGCAGTTAGGAGGCCAACACTGCCTGCACACAGCGGGTGCTCAGTGCCTGGCTGTCAGGGGAAGCCTGCCACCTGGCGCTTACCACGGCCAGTGGCTGAGTGCGTCTCGGCTGGCTTTTCACTGCCTGACCGCCCCCTCCCACCTGAGGGCAGGGCCTCCCTTCTCATTCCCCACTGTCTCTGTGAGCATTCGGTGACTTACTGAAGGAAGGGGCTCAAGGCTGTGGGGCTGGGAAGGGCATCAGTGGGGAGTGGTCCTTCCCCACGGCAGAGTGACAGGCAAGTTGGAAGAAAGCGCTGGAGCTCCGTGGGAGGGAAGGGGTGCAGGGAGGTGCATGTACTCCTTCAATGGGCAATGACTGGGCAGCAGCCTATTATATGGGCCACAGCGAGACAAACAGAACCCTGTCCTCTTGGAGGAGACAGACTATACAGAGATAAAAATATACTGGATGCGGTCCAGGGAGTGGGGAGGAGTCTGAAGAAAAACAAAACAGTTTACTGGGAGGGACAATGGCTAGGTGGGGGCTTGCTTTTAAGATAGGGAGGCACTGAGACATGAATAGAGGGGGCCCAGAGCTCCAGGAAGAATGGGAATGTGCTGTAGGCAGAGGCCAAGGCATGGACAAAGGCCCTGAGGCAGGTCCCTGGGCTAAGAGAGGTCTGATGGTGGGACTTAGGGAGGGAAGGGACTAGGCTGGAGAAGCAGACAGTCTTGGGGGCCGTGAGGGGGAGGTGGGTTTTCTCCTAAGAGAACCGGGAGCCGTGGGGGTTTCTGGTGAGGGAAATGGATCCGATGAGAAGCAGCCCAAGCACCGGGGGAGGGAAACTGGAACTGCAGCAGTTCATGGCCTGTCTTCGTCTTTATCAGACCTCTGCTCCGACGCTGCACACAGGCAGTCCCTGGGTACTAATGTCCAACAGCAAGTCCTACCTGCCCCTTCTCGCCCCCTTCAAACGGATGCCAACTCACTGTCGTGGGGTCAATTCTGACTCATAGCCACCCTATCGGATGGGGTAAAACCGCTTCTGTGGGATGCTGGGGCTGTAGCTCTTGACAGGAGTAGAAAGCCTGATCTTCCTGTTCTGACTCACCCACCACTTCTTCATGACGCAGCCAGGGAGACCGCCTGTACTGAGAAAGGGCTAACCTCGCCGAAGCTCCCCCTTGACCCCTTGAAGACCAGCCATGATGATGAGGGCTCATTAGAAGGCAGCGGCAGGCATGCATTAAGTGAGCTAGACTGGGGAACTATCTGAAGAGGCTGCTAAATGATCCACCTTAACTGCAAGGGTGTGTACAGCAGCTGAGTGTGAACGGGAGGGCATAGCCCTAGGATCTGCAGGCTGGGGCTCTCCCCTAGTTGGGGAAGCAGGCCACAAAGGAGAGAGGGCAAGGGCAAGGAAGGGGGGCCACCCAGCTTCAACGGCTTTTGGGAAGATGGTAGCGGTCAATGGACGCTGTTAAGTTGCTTCGGGCTCACCGTGACCCCAGGTGACACACAAGGCTTCCTACGCTGTGTCTTGATGAAGCAGATCGTCCCGTCAGGTCTTTCTCCCACAGAGCCCCTGGGCACTGAACCACTGCACCCCAGGGCTCCTGGACCGGAAAGGACCTGGCCTCTTGGAAGCACCTCCACCCACCACCGTGAATTCCAGACCTGAGCCCCCCAAGGTCAGCCAGCTGCCAGGCCTGCAGGCGGGCCTGAGCGGGAAGGCCCAGCTTATGGGCTCTGTGCCTACCAGCAGCCGCTTGGCCAGGATGTTCTCCACGAGCTTGAAGTCATTGCGAAGCTGTTTGTTCTTGTGGCTGATGCCCTCCATCTCCTCGTCGGCATGGAAGCGGAAGTACTGCGATTCATCCTTGAACTCGCTCTTCTCCAGCACTGCGAGCCACAGACAGACAAGCAGGTTCATGGGGGAACGTGCCAGCAGCCCTCGCCCACTGCCCGCCAAGGGCTGGAACCCACTCCTGGACAAGTTTGGCTTGGCCAGCAAGGAGGTTTATTAAGAATGGAATTGTGGGCCAACACTAACACATTCCGATAGTTGACATAAAATTCTGACTGCTCTTGAGAATTCTCAGCTTGCATCACCTGCTAGGAAGACATGCTAACAACGCCACAGTAGCCAAACAGTGTGGCGGTGGAGCAGGAACAGATAAACAGCTGGTGGAGGCCAGGAGACACCACATTAAAACCAAAAAAATCCTTGTGTATGGAAACTTGGTATATGATGGTTACATGGAGTACCCATAGATGGCACAGGGAAAACTGGCTCACTCAGGGAAGACAACCGCATGCCTTCCTCATTCCACACACAACAATAAACTCCTGATGGATGGACGACCTAAACAAGAAAAGCAGAACTAAAGCTAACCAAACCAAATGTAAAAGAATTATCTACTGCCCTGGGGCGGGAAAAGAGTCTACAGATAAGACCCATCAAAAAGTATAGCGTCAGGGGTCTTAAAGACTTGAAGGTAATCAAGCGGCCATCAAGCTCAGAAGCAACAAAGCCCACATGGAAGAAGCACACCAACCTGTGCAACCACAAGGTGTCGAAGGGATCAGGTATAAGGCATCATCAGAACAAAAAATTTTACCATAGTGAATGATGGGGGGAGTGTGGAGTGGAGACCCAAAGCCCATTAGCAGGCCACTGGAGACCCCCTTGCAGAGGAGACTCCAGGAGGAGACGAGCCAGTCAGGGGGCGATGTAGCAACGATGAAAAATACAACTTTCCTCTAGTTCCTAAATGTTTCCTCCCCACTCTCACTATCATGATATGAATTCTACCTTGCAAGTCTGGCTAGACCAGAAGATGTACACTGGTACAGATAGGAACTGGAATTACAGGGGATCCAGGGCGGATGATCCCTACAGGACCAGTGGTGTGAGTGGTGATACTGGGAGGGTAGAGGGAGAATGAGTTGAAAAGAGGGAACAGATTACAAGGAACTATATGTGACCTCCTCCCTGGGGGACGGACAACCGAAAAGTGGGTGAAGGGAGACATCGGACAGGGCAAGATATGACAAAATGATAATTTATAAATTATCAAGGGCACATGAGGGAGGGGGGAGCGGGGAGGGAGGGAGAAAATGAGGACTTAATGCCGGGGGCTTAAGTGGAGAGGAAAGGTTTTAAGAATGATGAGGGCAATGAATGTACAATGTGCTGTACACAATGGATGGATGGATGGATTGTGATAAGAGTTGTATGAGCCCCTAATAAAATGATTTTTTTTAAAAAGCACTGTACTAAAATTAACCACTTCTACTGAATAACTACTCTGTAGGCATAGTCGAAGGTAAGTGCGGTCTCTAAGACCAGCAAGGGGTTAATAACTAGAATCTACAAAAATCCCAACAAATCAACCAGAAAGGCGGAGAAGCCCACAGATAACTGCGAAAGGACGGAACATATCATTAGTGGGCGGGAAAACTCAGTGGGCAGCTGGACTGTGACCAGGAGCTCAGCCCCGTTGGTAACCAGGAAAGGATCCCAAGTGAGACCCTGTACACTAGCAATGGGCCACTAAGGCCCCTCAGGCCCAAAGCCAGCCCACCACCTGTCTTTATAAACAAAGCTTGTTGGAATGCAGTTATTCCCACTCACTTGTCTATCACTGATGTTGCTTTTGCACCACAAAGACAGAGTCACGCAGTTGGGGCAGAGATGTGTGGCTGACCAAGCCTAACCTATTTATTCTCCGATCCTTTATGGAAAAAGTTTGCTACCCCTGTTCTAGAACAAGCTGGGAAAAAGGAATAAAACACAACCAGTAGCAACCAATTCACAACCTGGTCCCCGAGGATCCAATGTAACTAAGCACTTACTGACGACAGGTATAGACATGAACACAGGCCCAAGTTCACAGACTCCTTGGACAAGGAAGGATCTGCTGTACCCATTTGACAGATGGGGAGACTGCGTCTAGAGGCTCTGTAAACTGCCAAAGGCCACAGAATCAGGAGGTGGCAGTCTTGCCACACCCAGGCTTGTTTGCATCTTATGGCCCAGCCTGGGCTGTTAAATGGGGCGGATAAACACATTAGACCCAGGGGGAGATGGAGGCTCAGTCGCCTGAGGTCCCCAAAAGAAAGCCAACCAGCTGTTTAGGTGTCAGGTAAGAGCAGCAGGGGCCTTCTCCTTTCCCCTCCTCTGCTCAGATGCTTCAGCAAGGCCTCTGCCCGCTCCTGAGCGCCTGCCTCAGCCGCGTCTTTGGGGAAAAGCATGCACACAGGCTGCAGCCTCCCCCAGAGCTGCGTGCCAGGTATGCAGGCTGCAGGCTTCAAGCTCCAGCATCAGCCGGTAGAGACTCCAGGAGTCTGTGTCTCAGCTGAAAGGCTGCCGGGGGTTGGGGGGGCCTGCGTCGGGGTCGCAGCACACACACACACACAGCATGGACCCCCTCGAGGTTGAGCTCAGCAGGAATGTCTCAACGGTCAGGTCTTCGAGACGAGGCTGCTGGTGGGCTTTGTAAGATGTGCACAGATTCAGGTTCAAATCCCTGTCTAGCCACTTACTCGCTCCAGGCCCTCTAGTCTCTCTGAGCCCCGGTTTCCCCACTGATGGGGGTAAGAGCAGCACCAGTCTCCCAGGGGCGTGGGGACTCAATGGCAAGCCTCAGTTTCCCCACAGCCCTAAGCGCCACCCAGATGTGGCGGG